GTTCTGAAGTTCTTAGAGATTTGACTGGGCGTTGTTTGACAAGGTCGGGCATAAACATAATTTTAGTAAAAAATGTACTAGGTAAAAATGTATTTAGTAAAAAATGTATTAAGACAAAAATGTATTATTAGTGAGTTCAAAAAGAAAATTGAAAAACGTAATAACAAAATCCAACATTTTTTATTTAAAATGTATTAAATAAATGCATAAAACTCGAAAATGAATGAAAATAACTTGCTAATTAATATTTTTATTCATTTTGCAAAATAATTGCATTTCGAAAGTGGTGTCACTGAGTCTGTTGCCAGAATTTCTCAGAACGTGCTTAGCCACGCTGAATAAGCGCGCCACGGGAGGTCAAGGTATTTAAACACGAAGTTAGCTGTGAATGCATATATATTGCGCATTAATTTTATAAATTAAAAAAGAAGCATTTTTTTAAATTTAATAATTTTTTTTAGAAAGCTCTAATTTTATAAATTAAAAAAACAAGCATTTTTTCTAAATGTAATTTTTTTTATTTTTAGAAAGCTAAACCGAGTTTTAGAAAAAAGTAACGATTTCATTCGACATATCCGTTTCAAATACTTGTACTTTTTCCCTAAAAAAGTAACGAAAGTACAAGTAAAAGTACTAAATTTAAAAAGTAACGTAGTACAAGTAAAAGTACGTACTTTTTACTTGTACCGGCGGTACAAGTAACGAAAGTAAAAGTACTGCCATATATGCTGGTATGACAGTATACGGCACCATAGCACCGTCTTTTGTTTAAAATTTCAACAATTTTAGGAAGGATCAAAATTAAATCCAATTAATTACTTAGTAATTAAGTTTTCAATTCGATCAAAATACAAAATATTTGAAATAAATTGTTAACGCATAACATAATTTAAACTATCACTTAAGACTAATTTGCAAAATGTATTATTCTAGGCGACTATGTCTTTTTAGATGGAGAAATACATACTACTCAGCCTCATTAGTATTCAAGTGGCATTAAAACAATGTTCAACAATCTGAGTGCAAATATTGTCTACCACTTGAGTTGGTAGTTTTGGCTATCAAATAAAAAATTTGGCATTCTAAAGTAAATGCAAATTTCATGATTATACGTAGCCACGGTACTGTATTTTGCTAAGTACACCAGTTTTTTGCTTGCTTGAGAATTTGGCATAACAACAAGATATTTTTTATTTTAAGTATTTTTAGGTCCCATCTTTAAATGTTGTAATTGTTAGTGTAACGTTTATTTCTTTCCGTTGATTTTTCATTGTCTATAAAGGGAACTATGAGTGAACTATTTTATTTATTGCACTATAGTTGGCATCAAATTTACGAGTATGTATCATTTTGTAAAATCTATCGGATTTTTTCCTAGGTACCTATGCCTGTACGATTTTTCTATGGGCTAAGTACATATTTCTGAGAAATCAGTAAACCGGTTCTGGTGATTCATTTTTTTCAATGAAATTATTATTTGTTAAAAAAGTTGTTCATGTTGTTGATTCACGTGGTTTCATTATGTGGATAACACAATTAAAAACTTTTTTGTTCAACTTTTAAAAGACCTTTTTTATAAAAACGAAAGCAAACTCTCGAATGGAAAATGTTAACTCAAATCTAACATTAATCATTATAGCATTGATAGTTTAGAACAGGGGTTTCCAACTGGCGACCCGGGGGCCGCATCCGCCCCGCGAACTAAAATATATTAGTTGTCACTTTTTTGCGGACAATCTTCGTAAAAAATCTATATGGGTTTACAATACCTTTCTCGTTAATAAAAACCTAATTTCTTCGTTTCTGTGAAATATAACATACCAACACACAGTTGGCCCGAAGACCATGATCTTTGGCCAAAAATTAAATTTCAACTAAAATATGTTTAAGCAGCTTTAATATCGCCCAAATTAGGTATTTATAATCATTCCAAACATTATAATTTACTTTTTGGACCGACAAGAGTACAATGTAGTGAAAATTATGTTAAAAAAATTTTTTTAAATGCAACTTTTAAATTTATGTTTCAGAAATATATATAGGAATTTCACCTTTCTGTTACATTTTAATCAGAGTAATTAATCTGAAAATATAGTACAATTTTTCAATTTGTTGGATTAGTTAATACTCTTGACAAACTTATAGTTTATATCTTATCATTTGACATTTTACAATGATTGAATCACTTTTGAAACTTATCTCCAAAAAGTTCCACGAGGCAATTAAACTTTTTTTTGTTGTCTTCTTTGATGTTTCTTCTTTAGAAAAAAACCTGCCCCATTTTGCCCATATTGCAAAGGCGGACTAAATATACCGAAAAACAAAAGTTATGTTTTTTTTCTTGTTTTCGCATTATTTTCTAATTAATTTCCGTTATTTTGTAATATTACTTGAGAAATATAATCTGCTCTTCATTTTTAATATAAAATTACGAAAATTATTATATTTTCATTGCTATATTTAATTATTTAAACGTACAATATTATTTTTTTTATTTTTGNTTTACCTGCACATGAAAACCCTAAATAAAACTCCCCAATTTTGAGGCAAATTTTATCGAAATACTAATTTTGGCCACCAAACCTTGGATGCTAGCCCAGTGTGCAACGGTGCAAATAAATTTATTTCTCAGGTTTTGCATTCAAGAAAATATTTATTCAATAATCGTGTATGTTGCTCTTTTTTGTTTTTTGTATTTTGTGAATATAATGTAGCATGTGCGTATCAGAAATTTTCTCGAAGAAATTCTCCGATTTAACTTTTCAAAACCACTCATTTTGGATGAAAATATTTACACACACATTTGTAAATTTTAAATTGAAATATCTATTCTCTTTTTGTTGCAGCAGACAAACCTCAATTTTCTCATTGAATATTGTGTGTGCTACTATGTAAGTTTTAATACCAACCTTTTCAAAGTTAGATATCTTAACAATTAGATATCTGTTGCACATTAATTGTTTAATACATTGGTGCACATTAAAGTTATTGTAGCCCGAATTTTTATTCTTTGTTTAATATTTTTGAAAACCTTATTAATAACAATTAAATATTTTTAAAAATCCACTTATTTTAATTTGTAATTCAATACTTTTGTTTTGTACAACTTGGTAAAAATCTGACAGTAATATTTAATGTTCCTTCAAACATTGAAAAGTCCTACGTAAAATTTTGATAAAATTGCGGCCCGCCATTTGATTTTTGTTTTTAATTGTATCCCCCGGCCTCATGTAAGTTGGAAACCCCTGGTCTAGAAAATGTTCTATATGTTTGTTATTGACTCCTACCTACTTTTTTGTCTCCTTTGTTCCCTTTAATATTTAGTTACTAATAAGTGATAATAAATTAACCTTACTAATAAATGATGAAAAACAGAGTTTAAAAATCATGTTAAGGCTCTCTGTATCCATCACTTCTCATCTTAAGAGGAACTTATGTGCTGGGCGCTATAAAAATTTTAATAATGTGATATATTGCCACAAAAGAGCAATATATCTTAAATATCGTGATTTTTAAAGATTATCATGCTAATTTTCCAATTTACTTTGGTTTTAGGTGGGACAATGTTCTCGTTTTAAATAAAAAAATTTCTACACTTATAATATCAGATTCGATAATTATCGTTAATATTCGAGCCATAATTGTATTCTATATTTCTCGCTGTTAATATCAGCAATATTATTGTAATTGATTGTCTCAGTTATCGATATTTCTCACGACTTTGCGATATTACGTTAATGTTACAATTGCGATGTTATCGTTGACGATAATTATCATACGTTTAATATTTATCAGAAGATTAGATGTTCGCAATATATTTTTAAATATCGTCATCGCCATGATTCAAAACATATCGATATATCACGATATTTTTCCAATTTAGCTAATATACATATTTTTCTTAGAGTGGTCAATGTTTTTGTGACATAAATGAAATCCATCAACATTGACGATAATTCTCGTTATCAATAATACTAGCAACATTTTCCTATTCGATTTTTATGATTGTGTATAACTTTTGGCACATTTGACATTTACTCTGAAACATATTGCAATTTATTGAGAAAATGATTTTTAAAATATTGCGTTAGGAATGTTGAGAAATATCAGTATTTTATCAACATTTTTCCAGTTTAGTAATTTACAGTATTTTTATCCAAGCTGCGTCTATCGAGTAGCTCAATAGAGTATTTTACCATAGTTAAATCCAATTTTTTTTTAAATATTTTAATAATGCATATTTATGTACAAAAAATATACAAATGTCATTCAGCGCAATGCTAAACGAATGAAACAAATTAATACACAGTTTCTTTCCACAACTTGTACATATTACTAATTATGTTAATAAATACAAAGCCTTCTTTCCCAGGAGCGGAATCACAACTCTATGTATCACACATTAAAATAAACCACTTTTTACTGTTTTTCCTTGATGGTAAAATACCTGTAAAGAAACTTTGTTTCTTTTAAAATTTGTATCAGAACTTGTTTTTACATTTTACGCAATTTACAAAAGATTGCTCTACAATTTATAGCCAGAAAAATGCAGGTCATAACTGTTCCAAGACAGCAAACAAAATAATAAAAGAAAAGCTGGAAAACTATTCAAACGTGACCCAAAAATTGACCGAAGACTAGGAAAAAACAATTGAAAAAAAAAAGGTTATATAAAAACATATGATGTAGCTGTGTTATTAGGGAACTAATTTTTTTCTCACTAAGTTTTAAAATTAGTAATAAAGTTAATTACCAGATGACGCTGACAACTAAAAAAAAAAAAACTATAAGCACTGTTTTTGATATAAACACCTATTTGCAGTAAGAGCGTGATATCATTTGAGCATAAAAATTAACACATGTCCAAGCAAATATTTCAATTGGAATAGTATGACTTACAACCGGAAGTCTCAAGCATGAAAAGTGATAACCCACATCTTATAAAAATTTTACTTCCTTCGTAGATAATTTTATTCAACACGAACTTTTTTTCTGTTCAATTAGTACAAGTCTCAGTCAAGAGAGGAGGATAGCATGTTAATGGTTAACTTTCACAAAAAGTCTGATATCTGCAGTATTTATGATAAAAAAATCTTAGTATTTAAACTACTCAAATCTGGGTTATAATTTTCTTATAACGAGGAATTACAGAAGATCAAGATTGCAAATTACTCTTCAGCTCATCCTCGAAGAAGTTTCTAAAACCATCACTGTGCAACTCTTGTGTGACGTAAATAAAGTACTACTACTATCAAATTTGATAAGCGAAAATTTTAGCGTTTGCTTTTTTTTTAAAAAAAACAAGGCTTGATTTTTTTAAAATTTTTAAATAAACTGCAATTTAAAGAATAATATTTAAAAGTTATGTGTTCAGATTAGATTACGAAAGCTTTTGCACAATTTTTCAAACTCTCCTGCATGACCTAGACAGAACCTTGATCACTATACTTTCTTCGACAACTAATTATTTTCCCACAATAATTTGTAAATTGTGTAAAATTTAAAGGCAAATTTCTTAGAAAAAGTATGAATGAACAGACCAATTCTCTGAACAGAGTAAAAAGAGTTTCAAAGACTGGTGGTGTTGGAATAATGCAACACACATGAAAAAAAAAATGCGTCGTATCATTCTAACAGCTTCCGTTTCTGATCAGAGAATTAACTCGGTGAAGTTTCCTGATGCTTATGGAAAATGGCTTCGATTCTGATGAAAATCGATTAAGGAAAAACAGGATTAATTGAAACCGGGATTCGTATGCTCGATGATACATCGCTTGCAGAATTTTCTAACCGTCCTATAGCCGTCCAGCGTTATAGGGCAGTCCTGTATGTTTAATTGCTGCAGTCCCCTGCAAAAGTAAGCAATGATTTTAACACCTTCGTCAGTAATCATTTCGCAAGACTTTAAGCTTAATTTCCTGAGATTAGGACAATGATGAGAAATGACTTTGAGACCTCTGTCCGTGACGTCACATTTTCCGATGTCCAGAGCTCTCAATTTTGAACAACTTCTTGCAATCACCTCCAGTGCGTCATCTGACACTGCCTCGCAACCCCTCACGTTGAGGTATCTGAGTTTGTAGCAATGCCGAGCAATTTGCTTCACCCCGGCATCGGAAATTCGATCACATTTGGCGACGCTCAAGTAACGCATGTTTGGCCCCAGTTTTGCTAATTCATACAGTCCGAAGTCCGTGAGTAGAACACAGTCACTCACACTAAGTTCTCTCAAAAGTACACAGTAATTGGCAACAGTTTTTAACCCTTCATCCGTGATGTGCTCACACCTTCTTAAGTACAGGTGGGTCAGTTGGGAGTAGTTTCGAACGATTCGTTCTAATCCTGGATCGTCCAGTCTGTGGCAGTCCGTGAGGTCCAAGTAACGTAAACGAAAAGAACAAGTGGTCAGTGCACTAGGATCCAGCGAAGACCGAGACTGTATCGTCGTTACAGCACTGCAACCTGAAATAAAAAAGTAACTTTAATAAATACCAATTATTAGAATATACAAATTAGTAATAACACAGATCATAAATCAATCTCGCACATAAATGAGCCATTAAGACTATTTGGCTTCTACCACTTTAAATAAAACAAAAGAGGTAAGAGTTATATCATCTTTTGCGAAACTCAATATTAATCACAAATCTTATTAGAAGAAACATGGAATTACAGTAACATCTCTTGTAAGGAATTCGAACTTTTAGAAGTCTGAACGTTGTGACAATTGTCTTATTTTTCCCACACGGCTCAGTTTAGTAGTTCGAAGATTGTGGCATCTTTTCTTATTTTTACCTTACTGCGTAGTTTATGTTCGCTCCTTCGGACTACTAAACTGGTCCGTGCGAAGGCTTTTTCTCTTTTAGGAGGTGTTGGTTATACCCTCTTAGCGGAACTCGATAACCATGCATTGATATCAACAATAATCACAAATTAATCGCCATAAATATGATTTTAAGAAATCACAAATTTTGTTAGAAGAAACACAAATTATCAACCGATCTGGCAAGGTAGAATATGTGACCTGTGCTCTGTCCGAATACACCACGTAAACTAATTGGCTTCTACCTCATCAAATGGAACGAAAAAGGTAAGGATTTCTTGGCATCACTCAATAATCAAATGGAGTTTTTAATTATTCAGTTAAAATTGTGTAAAAATTTAAAAGCGTTCTTTAACAAAATGGGAAATATTCCGTTTCTGGCACAAGCTGACAAAATTTTAAGAACCCTCTTCCTCTCCTTCAAGCGCGACAACATTTATAAACGTTCCTATAATAAAATAATTACAACTTACACAAGGGACTAGGCCCTTGTAACTTGTAATTATAGCTGCCGCTCACCAACTCAAAAGATTGCTTCGGGGCCGTGATAGCTCAGGGGATAGAGCACTCACCTTCCAATGAGGTGAACCGGGTTCGAATCCCTGCGAAGGCTGGTCGATACGAATTTCGCATCCGGCTTGCACTGACCACAGTGCTGACGTAAAATATCCTCAGTGGTGGAATGACGCTAACATTCTACGGATTAGAGCCCCCTTGCCGTCAGGCTAGCCGTGGGAGGTTTTTGTGGCTTCCCTCTCCATGTAACGCAAATGCGGGTTAGTTCCATCAAAAAGTTCTCCACAAGAGCAATTTTCTCCCAATGCTTGATCCAGGAGTTCCCTTGTGTTCTAGATTAGGTTCAAAATTACGAAGTTGAACATTTTAGTAGTCGTAAACCCAAAATTGGGTAGGCTGTTCAACGACGGTTGTAAAATATAATATAAAATGATTTGCTTCGTAATAATTGTTGATTCTCAGCATAAAGCAATTTGAATTATTCACTTAAAACATATTACTTGAAAGAATTCTATTTGCTGAGACTTGTGCCCCTACTTCCCACGTCCAAAATTCATTTCTTTAAATTAAATGTTTATTTTGAAACAAATTTGATTGGTAAATGCAATGAAAAAATTGTATGATACTATTAAGATCGATTAGTGATCATTATAATTTAATTTAGTAATAATTCTTCTTAAAAATAACATTTAAAATTAAAGATATATTATTACTAGTGGGCTGCGCCTGCTGGTCGCTAACGCTCGCCAACCACCGAAAATTGTTACGCAATCTAATATGGTTTGCTTCGCAAACCAAGTTCGCTTCGCTCGCTACTAACTAAGGTACATTGCAAATGCGCAAAATTCTAAGAATTCAAAACAATCAATCAAATCCATATAAAAACATGTTTTTTTTTAAAAAAAACTACCTTCTTTTTCTTTTATAGTCCACATTCTTATCATATTTACAGAGCATGTCCATGATTAAACATTGACTCCATTTNTTGCCACCGGCGGAAAAGAAATACAGCCAAAATTTGAGAGCCACGTAAGAGAATTATATGTATTATTATTATATAACAAATATGGTAAGCTCACAACTATAATTTAAATATTTTCGCTTACCTAACAGAATGATGTATGCAAAAATACAAATCTGCGTGCATCACATTGTCATGAAGCTAATCATTAGGTTCATTTTAAAGATCACTTAACGAATCTCTTTAAGGGCAATTTTACAATTGCATAACAATTTAACTAATAATAGCGTATTAATGTAATTAATAACAACATATGAATGTAATCCACCCCAAATAATAACAATTGTAAAACGGTTAATAAGTTTAGACACCGATTCGAATAAGTTTATCTTAAAATGTAGTGATAAGTACTAATAATAAATGTAATGATAGCAGAGTAAAACAAGATAAATAAATATTACAGGTAAATAAGTTAATTTAAATTTGAGATGCAAAAATGTTTTAAACGAAAACAATATCTTTGTGACTTTTAATTTTATGATGACAACCGAAAAAATATGAAAATGGGGGGAAAATCCACTTTACCTATTTCTCAGAATATTTCAGAACATTTCAAAGCATTTTATAGGGAAAATGACCTGGTATTGATTTTCGAAAGCCATTTAACTTTTAGAGAAAGCAGTAAAATCCCATTCCCTTTTTTGTTTGCATTTCAAACGAAAAACTCAGACAAAATTAACGGATTTTATCAGTAGCAATTAAACCTAAGAACGCGTGTGGTGATACAGGTTTAAAATTATTTTTATAATAAATACAACTATAATTTTGTACATAGTTTTTTTTTTTAGTTGAAAATGTATGTAACATAATAGTGTAACACTGGATAATGTTTCGCTCTATTCTATCTTTCCATGCAGATTTCATGCATGGTTAAGATTTATAAAATAAACAGTAGATACCAGTTTAGAAGATAAAGGTTGCTATTTTTATCATGTCTAGTTCTTAAGAATTCAAAACCTGTTTTGTATTTCAAAAGGTGATTTTCTATTTAACTAATTTCCCATATAACGAACTTATTATCGGGATTTAGCGACTTTGTTAAATAGAAGTCCAACTGCACTCCGTTCACCTTTTTCTTGACTTAAAATGTTGCGAACTGTCAGTTATGCCTTCATATGAAGACGCCAACAAAAAATATCAATGTTCACAAAAGCATTAAGTTTTTTTTAAAAAAATCATTCAACTTAGACTTACTCGAAAATATCAGTTATCTCAACCAAAAAAACCACAGATTTAATCCATTTACATATGTATAATTTCATTAAAATTCTTAAGTTAATTGGATGATGCGTTCGTTGCACCATTTTATCAATCTTGAACGTGCTACAATTTTGAATTTAAACATTTCTTCACAATTAATTTTACACATTAAAATTCATGTAATGTTTTTTTTATTTTTTTTTATTTTATTTTACTTTTCTTCTTCTAATTGGCAGGGGGGAAAATTATCAAATATATTCCAATCACTTCTAAAACTAGTTTTATCTACTGCTCTTTTCAGTTTCCAAGCATAATTTAAAAATTAACTTTTATTCTCTAAGATTTTTTTACTCTGTATACACTTGAAATTATGTAAAGTTATGGATAGAAAATTTAATGAAGGTTAATTCTAGTGAATTTGAGTAAATTAGTTAAAAAGTTTATCCGTTGGCAATGAGAAATCAAGATTATGATTTGCCATTATTTCTTATCCAAAAACTCCCATTTGGTTTAGTTTAAAATTTCCAAACAATAATTTAAACTGTTCGCTTCATAATGCTCGCATTGTTGTCTTTTTTATTTACTGTTTAATAAGAGGCTTCCTATAGTAACTTGTTGACTGTTTGTTGGCAAAAGCACTAGGATCATTCTTACACTTCAAAAATATTTAGAGATAGTCACTTAGCCTCTTCATTTACTGAGATTTCCGAAATTTTGAGATTTAATTTTTATGGTAAAATTATATAATGTTGCACAATTTAATAAAACTGGAAAAAATATTTTCCGGAGAAATTTTATATTTTTCAAAAATATCACTTAGCACTTTCTTCTATTGAGATTTTAGTCCCGCAGTGGACTGATCGTTAAGACACGGTTCCCAGCAGATCACCGAAGTCAAGCATCACTGGTTGCGGTCAGTGTGCGGGTGGGTGACCACTTGGATCAGTCTGCGTAGGGACCGAGGGTGTGCGGTATTGGTCCTCGTTAAACTGTGCTACCGTAAAGTGCTCGACTTCGCGCGCAGGTCGTCGGGCTACCGAAGCGGGGGTGCCATCCCCTCCGCAGAGGATCAAAATTGTGATGGCATGTCTTCGGATCATCCTCCGGGATGTTTCCCAGACCGTCGCCAATAGCCCATTGTGCAGCTCAAGTGCGACGTAAATGAGCAATCACAACAATCTATTGAGATTTTAAATTGTAAAGAAAAGTGCTAGAATAAGATAACATTATGAATTACAGTAATGGCGTTTGAATTCAGAATAGAAAATATGGTGAATCGAATTTGGCGTTGTTATATTTCAGCATAATTTGTAAAGTATTATTTTAAAAAATGGAATTAGTGCAAAATGTCAGAACGAAGAAAAACCAAAGTGTTATGAAAACTAAAACAGCCTGTGATCTAATATTTTAATATGTAAAAAGTTACTTCAGCACAGAGGTCATAAAAATTTGCAAAAATTGAGAATTCTTTATTGATTTTGATCGCTCTATCTAAGTGACAAAATCTCACTAAATAGGCGATTTTTAAAAAAAGTTAAATAAACCTTTAGAAACAAAAGTTATTTGTCGATTCTGGTACGTCCCTTCTACACACACATATATATATATATTTATAAATCCGACATTCTGGATTGCGTCTATCTAAGTTTAAAAGTGTTCAATATTTTCTAATCTACTTGTTTATTTCTTTTGCCTGATTACAATAATCCTGCACGGCAGTAGGCCAATTAAAAATGTGTGAGCAATGATTTAATCAAACTGAATTTGCTTAGATTTATTTGCTTAGATTTATTTGCTTAGACTTCGAATTCCAACGATGGCTGGTTGATACGAATTCTGCCACCGGCTCGCATCGACCATAGTGCTAACATAAAATAGAATCCCCTTGACGTCGGGCTAACC